TATATATATATATGTTATTGTTTGCTTCACTTTGAGTCACTGCTAAAATGTAAAATGTATTTTAAGTCTGCCCCAGGTCAAGGGTCTTGCTTTCCGCGAACTGCTTCACGTAGCCCATCACGGTCGCCCGATCGGTGGGCCGCAGAAGCGAGTGCAGACACGGCATCTGTGCTCCCATCTCGGCTTGGCGCCCGAGGCCACTCACCCGGCCGAAGCGGAAATGCGCCTCTTGCCAGTTGAGGGGGGGGGGGGTCCGTGGTGAAAACCTCGGCAGATGGTGAGCCCGGTTAGTGCTTGGCCATTTTGGGATAGTTTTTTTTTTTTTTTCACAACACACCATAATCAAGCGTTTTTCAAGCTGAGAACTGATAAGACTAGGTCCTCCAGATTTGAGAGGTTCGAATAAGTTGGTCCCAACTTGTTTCTTGTTTGTCTATTTTAGTAGGGGAACCCTCCCAACCAAAAAAGAAACGGTACAAGGGCACCTAGCTGGGGCCATGGGCAGTTCTTAGAACTACTAAAGGATCCTTAAGTACAGGGCCTTCATGGTGAGCTCGTTTTGCCTCCTCGCTAGAGGCAAACCATGGGTTTCTGCCACCATTCAAACAAGTTCAACCCCCGCCCTCGAATCCATAGGTACAGAAACAAAAACGCAAGGGATGGCTGCGAGAATTCGAAGGGCTGTAACACACAGAGCTGCAAGAACATGGCACGCCATTGGTTTGAACACCATGGTTTACTCTTGGAACCGTAGTACTCTTTCCGGCAGACGTGGGTCTGTACTGTGTTTTGGAGGGAACCCTGTTTTGCGTGGTTTTTTAAGGGAACCAAAAGGACCACCACCATGTTGGGAGGTCCGGTTTTAAAACAAATACCGCTGCTAGGGTTTCTAAATAAAGACACACCTAGGGTGTTGTCCTTAAGGATGACTGGACGGGCCCTAGGTTTCTAGACACCAAGTGGAGAGTGCCCTCTTGGCCGGATGCGGGGTTGCAGCTCACCCTCAAGGCATGCCTTTGGTTGGCCTTTTGGATTTGATTTTTTAGACGGGGCCGTTGGCCCCACACGCTGAGCCTCCCGAAACATGATGACAATTGAGTTCCAGTCACCGCGTCGGGTGCCCGCACACACACACACACTCACGTGGGCATGAATTCTGGGCCCCTTTCGGGTTTGTACAAAAAGGGAGACCAAAGGAACACCACTTCTCTTATTCCGTTCCTCGATTTTTTTTTGTGGGGGGGAACCAGGTCACCACTTCCTTGGCTTTGGGGGGGGGGGAAAAGGGGGCAGCCCGCCAACCTGCCTGCACCACATCCAGCGAGATACTAGAGGCGTCCACTAGCAAGGTGATCTCCTGTCAATCCGTCCTCTCCCTCCCGAAACCTCATCCCATCTGGGTGTGTCTATTTTGGTTGGAACCCTCTAGACAGGCTTTTTTGTTTTAATGCTTATTTATTTTTAT